CTGAATTGGTCGGTAGCAGATGCCTTTCAGAGTCCATGTAAAAACGCCTTTGCCTTCACGTGATGCATATTGCTTCCTGCACCTATCTTTATTTATATTTATTTTGTCTATATTACCATCTCAAAGTGTCAAGCTGCCAGAATACAACCTCATATTCAGAACTGTTCTCTGGTCCAGTAGCGCAAACCTAGACGCTCAAATTATTGTTATTTTTTTTAACTTTGCAAGAAAGGATTCGCCCTGAGCTAACATCTGTTGCCAATCTTCCTCTTTTTTTTTTTCTCCCAAAGCCCCAGTGCATGGTTGTATATACTAGTTATAAATCCTTCTAGTTCTTCTATGTGAGCTGCTGTCACAGCATGGCAACCGACAGATGGGTAGTGTGGTTCTGCACCGGGGAAGCGAACTCGGGCCATTGAAGCAGTGAGAGTGCAGAACTTTAATCATTAGGCCATCAGGGCTGGCTCCACACTCAAACATTTTTAAGTGGAGATCACAATCACTCCCTTATCATCTTTATCTTTTAATGAAGGTCAAACTCTCACCTTTAATTGCAAGGTATTTAAAGCAGGTGTGTTTTCTACAGCATTTAATTAGGTAAGCATTAAAGCTAAGTGGATAATAAGCCAGGTCTGTACTTGGTGAGAAGTTGTAAGGGCACCTTGAGGCTGTCCTTTGATCATCTTTTCCCAAAGCAAAGCAGTCATTCTGCAGCTGTTCCATTAAAAAAGAAGAAAAAGCTTTCTGGTCAAAGTCACTTAGTAAAATACTGTGTATTATATTCTCTATCTTGGAGATTCATGTTACATATTAGCAGTTAAAGGAGTTACAAAGTTCTGGCTTCTGGTAATGGAGGAGTAGGTTCTTTTCGACAAACCCTTCTACAGATAACAATTAAACATTCTGGAAAAAATATTTTTGAAAAACTACTGAAGACACTGGAAAGCAATGAAAAGCAGGCAGAAATTGAAGTAGAGCCTAGATTTGGAAGAAAGGAATGGCACTGGATAAGTTTCCATTTTTAAGTGTTTTTACTGGGAGAAGGCCCTGGACTCTGGACAGCAAAGAGGCTAAAACTCAATAGAAAATTCTCAGTTTTACTGGCTTAAAGAACCAGAGGACAAAATTCAGTGTGACTACAGCAGCTTGAAAGTGAGGGGAGAATCCTACAAAGAAGAAAGCCCGTAAGGGAAATCCCTAAATTCTGCCCATAAACTCTACTCACCTCTCTGGCTGACCCTGAACTACACACTCATGGGGCAGACTCCAAGCAACCCATCCAAATCTAAAAGAACTGAGTGGAGATTTCAGCTGCTGCTTGCTGCCGGGCAAATAGAGTTTACAGTTTAAGTCTGACCAAGTTAAGTGACTATTAAAACAAAAAGTAAATACTCTTTTGAGAGTATTCAAACCCAGAGTTTCTTCAACCATTCATAATGTCCAGGATACAATAAAAATTAGTAGACATACAAAGAAATAACTAAATGGAGCTCAGATTCAAGAGAAAAGGCAATCAGTGGGAACTCATCTCAAAATGATCCAGATGTTGGTATTAGTAGACAAAGATTATAAAGCAGCTATTGTAACTGTGCTCTGGGACATAAATGAGAATATGCTTGTAATGACTGGACAAAGAAATCTATGCCAAGACACATGATAATCAAAAATCCAAAAACAAAAGACAAAGAAAAAGTTTTGAAAAAAACAAAAGGATTTGATGAATAAAGATATATAGATAGATGATAGATAGATAGAAAGGTGATAAAGCACATATAGTAAATTGTTAATTATAGACTCTAGGTGGTAGGTACATGCGTGTTCACTTGGTAATTCTTTCAACTTTTCTGGATGTTTGAAAATGTTCATAATACGATATTGGAGAAAAGGTCTGCAAAGTCCTACATTGGAAACCTGTTTAACTTTGTTTAACTCTGTTTTTATCAAACTTCTTTTTTCAACAAAACAAAATAAACAAAAGCTCTAAGGAACATGAAATAAACCCTGTATAACATTCTCTGGAAAATACTTCCTATTTAGATTTAGTTTACATTCATTTCAATTTTTCAAGTGAGAATGGGGTATCTTATCCATTGCAGCATGATAACCTACCCCCAAAACACAATGGCTTAAAATAACAACACTTTATCGTTTCTCATGATTCTGAGTTGACTGGAGCTCAGGGGAGTTCTGACCGGGTAGTCCTGCTGGTCTCACTTGGAATCTCTCATGCATCTGAGCTCAGAAGGGGTTGGAACATCCAAAATGACTTCTCATCCTCCAGGGTTTCTCTTCAGGTCGCTCAGGTGTCTAGTCCAGACTTGCTCAACAGCATAATGGTTGGAGTCAAAGAGGAGGGAACAGAAGTTGTGAATTCTCTTAAGGCGTGGGCTCAAATCCTCAGAATGTCACTTCTACATCCCATTGGTTAAAGGAAGCCAAAAGGGAAGCCCAGATTCAAGAGAAGAGGAAATGGACTTCACCTCCTGGTATAAGGAGCAGAATGTGCCTACAGGGAAAAGAGGAACTGACGGTGGTTGTTTTTGGAGATTATTTATCACAGGGGAGATTTGGTACCAGAATTTCCATTCAAAGCACAGAGTTGTATGCCTTATGGAAGATGTTTAAAGTTTACAAATGAATAGATGGTTATCTTACAAAAAGCAATCTTTGCTTCCTAGATCCCAGAGCTTTGTTAAGTAGCAACTTTCTAAATGCGCTAAACTGTTGATTTTGGGTACAGTGGAACACAATCTGGAATTAAGAGTCAGAAGACCTAGGTGTCTATTCTGACTGGTACTTACCAGTCGGGTGACTGGGCAAACACTTAACCTCTCTGAACCTAAGTTCTCTTGTTTGTAAAGTGGAGTTAATATATTTAACTCACTGAATTTTATTTAGGGCCAAAAAAGGAGACAGAGATCTCCCACAATTCTCAGAAGAGCAGTCCCCAAGAGAACTGGAACTAGATCCAAATCAACCTTCAGGAACCCTCAGCAGGATTTCGTGGATCTTCACTAGTACCTGCCATTAATTTGAGTCGGCCACCTTCCCCAAGACTGTTTCACTGTCCACTAGTACTTCCTGTCATTAACTACCAATTCTTTCTCTCTACCATCAGTATTTTCCCTTTACTACATATTTCTTGATTTCTCATCACTTCTGCCTGCCATGAACTACCATGGCCCTACCTAATGGTCTAGACCAGGAATTGTCAAACTTCGGCCTGTGGGCCAAATAGGGCCTGCCATCCGCTTTTGTAAATAAAGCTTTATTGGAACACAGTTATGCTCATTCACTTACTGTTGTCTGTGGCCTCTTTTGGCTACAATGGCAGAGTTGAATAGTTGCAACAGAAACTGTGTGGTCCACAAAACCTGTTTGGCTCTTTGCAGTTTCCTGATCCCTGGTCTAGACTCTCCCTCATGGCTCTTGTTTCTAGGCATTTATTTAGCTTCTGTTCTCACTGACATATTCTTGAAGTAGTTCCCTGTTCAAGTTCCTAGAAGAAGGAGAACCAAAATCTTCCAAAATCCTCATTCCTTAACGTGAAATGAAATGAAAGGACATTCTCATTTCACGCCAGGCAGATTCATAGTGTCTTGGCCAGCCGTGGAGAGGCTGCATGTTTGTGTGGCATGTTCTCTCCCAGCCTCATCAATTAGCTGTGGCTGAGGAAATGTAGACAATATGAAGTCAGTAAAACAGAGCTGCCTTGGAGAAGCTAGGGCATAGTGGGTACTATGATTGACGTGTCTAGTACAACTGCAAATTAAATTAAATGAGCTAATATATGTAAAATATATGGTAATGTGATTTGAGCCATATATTTATAAAGTGTCAAAAGTACTTGCCAATTAAGATCAATCCGAAATGAAATACAGTACCCCCAAAATTAATAATATAAATCAGTGACAAAATATGTAACACAAAAATTTGGTTCACACACACTATTATAGTTCTTTTGCATAATAGGACATATAGTATTATGTTATTATAGCTACACAACATAAAATACCATTAACATTTCCCAGGAGATAAAAAGTTGGTGAAGAAAGTTTAAATGAGCTGTGAAATTAGGATTGGATGAGTATTGACTCTATTTAGATGCTAATGATCCTTCTTTCTTATTTGGAAAAAACCCCAACAATTTATCCATTATGAATTATGTACCTTCTCAAGGATAAGTTTCTATAAACACAGAGTTCTGCAATAACCAGCACTTTTAATAGATTCTTCTTCCATGCTTTTCCAACTTAAACTGCATCTGCCTTGGGTGACTACATCTTGGCTCCCTTCTACACTATAGAGTATGGTTCCAGTTCAGATCTGTATGGAGGAGAAAACCATGACAGTTTTGAAACAGTCCTCTGAATCCTTCTAGCAATGTAAAAGGTGTGGTACTCAGAGTACACCTACAGAGAACTCTGACAGCATTTTCAATAAGGAAACTTAAAAAAGAAAAATTTCCCAGGGCCGGGTGGGGGCATAGTGGTTAAGTTCACATGCTCCACTTTGGTGGCCCAGATCCAAGGTGCAGACCTACACACTCTCATCAAGCCATGCTGTGGTGGCGTCCCACATACAAAATAGATGAAGACTGACACAGAGGTTAGCTCAGGGCCAATCTTCCTTACCGAGGGGAAAAAAAAATCTCCCATTGAAAAACAAACACAAAAAATCATGGGAAATAAACTTTCGGAAGAATGCCTACACCTTCCAGCCTGGAAAAATTGATAACACACACACACACAAATAGCTTCCAAAATAACTTTTATTACTATATAAAAACAAGTCAAGAAAAAATAGATGCATTTTTTTCCTACAAAATTATAAAATATTCAGGCTATTTAATATTTTTCCATAAATGTGCTGAGATAAAAAGATAAATTTAAACAAAGAAATCTTTTCTACTTAAACTTTTCAGGTACTTTGTAGGAAACAAAGTTTCTTCTATACTTTCTATAGTTTTCCTTCTTCTATACTTTCCTATGTTTAGCTCTAAGACATAGGTGTTAAAGCTTTCTGTTGTACTTATCTAAAAAAGGACATGTCAAGATAAAAATTCTATCATATGGCATTAAAGTTAACATAAAGCTTTACTCCTTCCTTTGCTCTCTTAGATTTGGCAGCTGTGGTCAGCTGGTTTTGCACTAGAATTTCCAACTCAGCAGGGAAAAGAGCCTAATTGAAAACAAGACATCCTCTTTATTTTGTCCTTTGGAGAACAGAAACCACTTGTCAGTATTCCTTAAAAAGTGCATTGGCCTCCTCTGTCATTTGACTGTAAGGTCTTACATGCTATTTCTAATCAACAGCTTAGAGGAAACCACACAAGGAAAGGAAAGTACTTTGGGAAATGGATTCAGTCTGACACAGGAGCACAGGAAGCTATACACTTTTGATAATATTAATGCAAAAGTATATTCATTTGAGTTTCTCAATAAGCCCTTTGAGAGAAAAGGCTTTAGTGTTGATTTAGATGAGTGTTAAAATAAAGCTATTTTTTTCTGAAATTAGATTATGGGGTAAGCCAAGCCAGACTATCTCTGCAGAAGATATAAGCTATAATTATTTGGGGAGATTTCAATCTTGGTTTTGGAATTGATACCTAAGGCTTTCTTCCCCCCCTATTCTTTTTGTGGGCTTTTTAATGAGATATTTTTTGGGGAGAAGCTTTCTGTAGAAAATACCAGCTTTTGAAAGATAAAGGTACAATTATCATTATAATAAAAAGCCCATTAAAAGACTCTCAAACAGAAAGGTTTTCTAGATATTTTTACTATGCATTGTTTTCATAAAGGCTGAGAAAGAAAGAAGAGAAGTTCCTATAATACCTGTAAGATTACCCTCATATTAGCCCACAGGAGAGAGGAAATAAAGGGCTGAGAGGAGGGGTGCTTGAGTACTTTGCAATGGAGCAGATTATTTGAGTGCCAAATCCATAATTCTTTTCACTGATAACCTCTTTCTTGGCCTATAGAAAATGGAATGGCAGCTTCGGTTCTTGGGGCTGTCACTAACCTCTCCCCCCAAAAGACTAGAATTTTGTGCACCTTTATGTAATGAAACATCCATTTATCAAAAGATGTTTATGAGTGACAATGCAATTACTCCTTCCACCTAGCACCAAAACTGCAGCATGCTCTACTCAGATTGAATTTCATTGTGCCCACTATGTGCCAGGCATTGGGTTGGGCGCTGGGGATCCTTCTGACACCATCACCAACTTCAGAAACAGAATTAATTAAATAAGAAAAAAACTTGCAGGGAGCGAATCTTGAATGGTTATCTGTGAAGCTTAAAGAATGTGATGGAGTGTAGCTTATATCCAGTCTATGGCAGCAATTATTAGTTACCTAAAAGGAAATGCATTAAGCACCAAAAATGTTAAAGGTATCTGGTATAAACTGTAATGTTTTATCCACATTAAAATGCTGCAGTTTAAAATTGCAGGGAAACCAAAAAACAATACCAAAATGAGAAAGCATCATTTCAGCATAAGCACTACTTTAGGTTTTAAGTCAGCCCAGAGCTTAGACAGAGAGCTCTATGCACAAACGTGTCACTTCTGAGTCTCAATTCACTACTGAGAACCCAAGATATCCACTAAAATTCCAACAAAATTAGGAAGGACCCCAGCTGTTACCCCGGGGAAGAGCAACCATGACGTAAGTCTCTCCAATCTTCAAACCCAAAGCTAATCAGCAGCTAAGATCCTCAAGAACAAAAATTGCAACTGATTAATCTTGAAAGCTATAGATGTTCTTGCCTGAACCTTTCTTTGTCACCAAGACAGAATTTTAAGATCCAGGGGGCATCACAGTAGGCCATGGCTAGTTGGCAGTGGCAGGGTACCCACGATCTATTTCCAGGCATGGGTGGGCCCTTTTCCTTGGTTATTTGGGAAATCTGCCTTGAAAAGGAGAGCCAGAAGGTAAACTTTAACAACTCCACTGCACTCCAGCAATTGAGATTTATCCAGGGGTGCATCAAAGTAGGTGCAAATTAGCATAAAACAAAAAAAAATTGCATAGTGAAGTGGTTGGGATCGCAGACTGAGGAACCAGGCTGCCAGGTTTTGAATTTCAGTTCCACCACTCATGAGCTTGGGGCAAGCTACTAACCTCTCCCAGATGGAGATCTCTCATCTGTAAAATGGAGATAATAATAGTACCTACTTCATAAGGTTTATCTGGGGATTGAACGAGCTAATATTTATAAAGTGCTTAGAATAGTGTCTTGGACATAGTAAGTGCCATGTAAGTACTTTTTAAAATAAAAACAGAAACTTGGGGGGAAAATGCTCCTTGAGGTTTACAGAGCAGTTTATTGCTGTTTAAGCATTCAGGCATATTCTCATTCTCATTAGGTTGGGAATCTGGATCATAAAGAACACTAAACTCTGGGGAAGGCTTGGGACTAAGTTGAGTTTTGGAAAACTTCCAGGTCTAACTAGAGAATATCTCTTCAAGTACCTACAGACCAGTTCCTGCTCCAAAATACACTAATATAAACCCTGGTCTCCAGGGCCAGTCTGAGCCCAAACCAGCTGGGGAGGGAGCAGAGGGCAGGAGCAGGGAGAAGAGAACCAGTTATTTTCCTAAAACTTTTTCTGTTGTCTACTCATGATATCTGTGTAGCATAAACCCTGTCCCAGATATTCAAGATCTGATTCTAAAACTTTAGAACTGATTCCACCTACTCCTGAAATCACTGGGATCCCAGAATTAACAGGAAATGACTGCGTGATAAGAGCCCAGGGATGCTGGCAGTCTATCAAATCTACTAACCAATAGACACATTTTGAGCATCTATTCTATGCAAGGCTCTGTGCTAAACGCCTTGGTCCTCAACAAGGAAGTGGTAACATAACCACAGTTTATATCTGCTGTTATTTATATTGATCATCTCCTTTCCAATTCAGGTAAGCTCACAGGCTTCAATCAATACAGACTCTCAAGAAATCCTACTTTATGATTAAAATAAATATTGACTCTTTGGAGCTCAATCATCTTATGGCTAAATAGGAAAAGCTAAACTGTAGAGCTAGTTTTTAAAAGCAAAGTTATATGGTTACACCTCTACAACATTTTACATGGTGGATCTCTGTCCAGCCTCATCAAGGGTGAAGTTTCTCTTCCTGGCTGAGCCTTCGTTGTTTAACTCTGAATCTGATTTGTCCACGTTGCCAACGTTTATTGCCATGGAGCCTTCCAATCCCTCTGTAGTACCTCCCTTTGGCTGAAGAAGGATAGAATTTGGTTCATTAGGACGTTTCCATTGTGGCCTGGTGACTATCCAAAAAATGAGAGCCCCAAACAGCAGAATCAGAAGGCCAAGGGTGTTTGTGAAAACACCTTCTGGTGGGAATGAATGGTATGCAGGATCTTTCCTACAAAAAAAAGAAAGAGCGTGTTCAGTTACAAATAGGGTGATACAGCAACATGCAAACAGTCTTGAATTCATCTGCTCAAAAGGCATACTGGTACAGCTTCAATGTAAATTCCCTTAAAGCTTGATCTTAAGAAGAAATTTAAGTTATCCTATAATTCACTCAATGGAATAGTATGAAATTGTTAAATTCATAAGTATGAAAATAATATAGCATCTGAAACACCTGTATCACTTAAAAATTTTAAAAAGGATGATACAGAAGTAGATGTAAACTATAATTACAATAAACATGTACATCAAAAAGATTAAAAAGGCATGCATAAATTCAATAGTTATTTTGTAAGAGTGGTACAATTTGTTGGACATTTTGGTCCTTCTTCTAAGCTTTTAGTAATATTTTGTTATATATAATAAAATAAATTTTTAAAAAATGTTTTAAAAACTTTATATTTTTAACATTAAAAAATTGTTACATTTATATTACATTTTCTCAACAAACAGGTATTTAACATTTTATAGCTTAAGTATTACAGTTAGGAAAACTGCAACTTACAGGGCAAAAATCAGTTTCTCGGTCACTCCCGTGAGTGCTGTTGCAATCACTGTTCCAAAGATGAGAAGGCCAGAGTAAACGTGAATGGGCATGACAAGTGCTCGGAGAGAAAGTGGAGCCCAAGGAAGCAGAAAGATGAAAAAACCTAGGAGAAGCTAAACATCAAAAAGTGCAAAGGTTATCATTTAATTTTAAGTTTTAGCTAACTTTGAAATTATTATTATAAAAACAATATGTGCAAAATGAGAAAACTTTTCACGTAGAAACAAAGGCAGAAAGCGAAAAGTAAATTTCCCCACTCCAGTTCCACCACTCAAAGGTAACACCATTATCACTCTCTCCAATGTCCTTCCGGAAAATTTCTATGCCTATACAAGCACGTGTGTGGGTGTGTGTGTTGTGTGTGTGTATAGAGAGAGAGAATTTTTTAAAGTATAAATGGGATCTTACTATCCACATTTGTTAGGTATCTTGCTTTTTGCCCTTAGTATATCTTGGAGATCTTTTCTTATCAACACGTTTTTCTAGTTTATTCATTTTAATGGCTAACGTTCTATTTTAAAGATGTAACATATTTATGCACTTCTCTATTTATGGACGTTTCTTGTTTCCAGTTTTTTGCTATCACTAACAAGGCTACAGTGAACATTCTAGTACTTGTTTGTTTTCATCAGTTTCCTGAAGGATTCCAGGTAAAAAGGGAAGTAAAAGGTTTTTAAGTCACTACAACCAAATACAATAGGACACATTAAGTCAGGGCAACCTAAAAAACTATGCGGAAAGACGTTGATAATTTTGTTTTGTAAGGAAGAGATGAGTTCTGCAGAAAAGTAATCTCCATTCCCTCGATAATTAAATTCCTAGTGGGATACTTCTCTGCAGAGAAGCCAGTGAGATTCCCATGTAAACTGAAATCTGTTAACACTTTCACTTTTGTTTTGTTGCCCCACACTCCCTGCCTGTTAAGTATCCTCTTCTCCTCGAGAAAATAAAGATGACTTGGTGGCCACTGAGTTACCAAGTTTTTCAGGGACCTATTTAGGATCTACCACCCTAACAAAACAGCTATGAGAAGAGAGGAGAATGGGAGAAAACACGAACATCACTGTTCATCTTTCCTGATTGAGATCTAAGGACTAATCAGGGATGGGATGCCAGAAGGATAAAGGCAGAAGGGGTCTGAGGCCCTAAAATACATTTAGAATCACCTTACAGGCAATGGCAATGAATGGAAAGTAACCAGAAATGCATTTGATAGGCTGGCTTACATTTTATTGTCTACTTAATACCACAAATGCCTGGATATACTAGAAATGGTTCAGAGGGTTCCCCCCTGGTGGTTCAGAATGTTCCTAATTCTCCTTCTGTGAACTCTGGTGATTCTATTAATATCCAAGGGCAAGCTTCCTGATGTACAGGTTGTGCTTTCTATGTGAAAATGTGGCTCCAGTTAGTGACTGTCAAGGATTTTGCACAAATATATTTCTGTGAGCAAATCACCATATCTTGTCTGTGACTTGCTCACAAAAACCTACATTTTGCATATTCCTGTTCTCCTGCCTCTTTTCATTCCTGAGATTCTTACTGTTTCCTCTCATTTCTTTCAGGATTTATCATGTGTGTCTCTTGTAATCCTGTAGAGCTCAATGATCTAAGCAGATGGGATGTCAGAAATTTGTTTATGGGACCCCAAGCCATTAAATCTCGCTTTCACCATTAAAAAAATTTTTTATCAACAAAAAAAATTACTTTTAAAAGGAAAGGATAAAAATTGTAGAATGCTTAACTTTGATTGAAAGTATTCCAAATTATGCCAATTTATAATTTATAAAGACTTATAATTTATAATAATTATTCTTTATTTCCTTTTAGCCATTTTAGCCTTACCATCTTACAAATGAATATGGTAACTTAAAACTTAGTGGACTGAAAGTTACAAAATCCCTTTGACCCTTTAAATCGGTGGTTCTTAAAGTGTAGTTCACAGAAGACCTGCATCAGAAACACGTAAGGTGTTTAAAGATATCCCTGGGCCACATCCAGATCTGCTAAATCAGAATTTCTGGAAGGAGGGCTCAGGAATCTGCATTTTAACAGAATGCCTGGCGATTCTTATGCCTGTTGAAGTTTGAAGACCACTGCTTTTGATTCACTCAAATTAGTTCAGAATAGGGTTAACTGCAGTCTGGAAAACCCCTAAAAGTCAAGACAGTGGAATCTCCCAATACCCTCAGTCTACAGTCACTTATTAAGTGCCAACTATGTGCAAATAAAGTGCTCCAGTGTTTAGGAACCATCATCTACAGAAGGCTGTTCATCCCAATGGAGTTCCTACGAGAGCTAAAGAAAAATAAAATCTCATAAAAAGTTATTTAGATATGAAAGTGAAAATGTAGTTTGTTGTTAGTGCTTTCAAGTCAGTTCTGATTCCTAGCAACCCTGTGCACAGCAGAGCAAACTCTGCCCAATCTTTTTGCGCCGTCCTCTCGCCTTCCAGCTCTGTATCAGACAACATTCCGCTGCTATTCATAGGGTTTTCAAGGCCAATTTTCCACAACTCGGTGGCTACGTCCTTCTTCCTAGTCTATCTCAGTCTAGAAGCTCTGCTGAAAACATGTAGTATGATCTAATTATGCTTAAAAATGAAATATATATATTAAATTATATATATAAATTAAATATGCATATATATTCAAAGGCATAATAAAAGCCTAAAGGAAATAAACCAAAATAGAATGATATCTCTAGATTATGGCTTGATCAGTGATTTTTATTTTTTCTTTATATTTTCTGTATTTTATAAATTTTTAAATTAATGTACATTACATTTATAATTAAAAATAGACAATGAAAGTTTACTTTTAAAGTTTCTGTCTTTAAATAACTGGGCTTTTCTCAGTTAATTATTACTGTCCTTTAAAGATACAAGTGTATTTTACTATGCCAGTTTTATCTCACTTTATGAAACAAATGAGTTTTTAAAAAAAAGATATGTGTAAACCTTTAGACATAACAAAAGCTTTTATTTGCAAAGGTCATTAATGAAACCAGGAAACATCTACCTAGCTAGCCTTTGTATAAGGTATAATTAGCTTGTTTTTTTGGCCAGGAAGATTGGCCCTGTGCTAACATCTGTTGCCAATCTTCCTCTTTTTTGCTTGAGGAAGACTGTCCACAAGCTAACATCTGTGTCAGTCGTCCTCAATTTTTTGTATGTGGGATGCTGCCACAGCATGGCTTGATGAGTGGTGTGTAGGTTTGCACCCAGGATCCGAACCCGCAAACCTCAGGCGGCAAAAGCGGAGCACATGAACAATCACTGTGCCACTGGGTGGGCCCCTGATTTGCTTTTTTTTAAGTGTAGAGGTAGATTTAATGAGCCATCAAATGATTTACAGATTATTATTTGGAGGCTCCTCCCAGTTCCTCTTCATCTTTCTTCTATTTTCTATACACACTCACTCATTCCTTCGTTTAAAGCACAGATTGCTGGGCCCCATGTGCAGAGTTTCTGATTCAGTAGGTCTGGGGGGGAACCTGAGAAGCTGTATCTCTAATTTCCCTTGTGATGCTAATGCTGCTATTCTAGGGACCACACTTTAAGGAGCTCTGTCTTAGGTCATTTCCAAGTTGCATTCTTCAACCATAACAGCGCTTTTCTTCTGGGGTAAAAAAAAATCTAATCAGCACCAACTAGAATATGTCCATAGTTTTTTCCTAAAGAGGGATGACAGACATTCAAATTGAGTACTAAGTCTCCTGTCAATATCCTACATCTCTTTGCTGCATTGTCTTTCATCACGTCCACCTGGCAATACCCCAACCCTGGCTCAGCCATCTTCAGGACTACCCCTGGTCTGCTAGGTACCACTGAAGTAAATCACACACTCAAGGAAACTAGCATCACTATAAATTCATCACAGTTATGAGCACTTCCACATTGCTCAACAATCCTTCTATTGTCTGATTTATCAACTGGTCCTGTGTGCTCCCCCATCCTCAAACTTCTGACTCTCCCATGTACCTCTTGACTACTGGCAGATGATCTTAGCACCACCTCATGCAAAAAACAGAGGCAACTTCAGAGAAGAGCCAACACACCAAAAAATCATCCCAAGCCAACACTTCCTTCCTTTCTTCAATTACAATGGAGTCGGAGTCCTCCAATTTTCTAGCTGTTCTCTGCAACCTGTTTCTAAAGACCTAGCTATAGATTACTGCAACCTCTCCTTCTCTACTGGTGCTATCCTGTGAGCATTTTAAACATGCCCAAGATTCTATCAATGAAAAGAAGTTAAAACAAACAACAGAAAGTACCCAAACACCTGCCTTGCCTCCCATCTTTGTCCAGTTACCATCTTCTTTCTCTCTTCCCCATCCTACCCAAACCTCTTGGCTCAGTTGTCTATTTTCTCACCTTCCACTCCCTCTTCAATTCAATGAAATCTGGCTTCTGTCCTCCAAGGAAACTGCTCTCCGCAGTCACCAGTGACTTCCAGGTCACTAAATCCAATGCACAGTTTCTAGAGCTTATTTTCCTTGACTTCTCAGTAGCAGCTGACACTCCTCAAACCCCCTCCTCTCTAATGTTCCCTTTCTCCTCCACCCACTTGCTCGAGCCTGCAAGTGGCTCTCTCTCATCTCTTATATCACTGACTTTTCAAATCCCATTAATTCTACCTCCTAAATGTCTTTAGAAACTATCCACTTTGCTCACTGCTACTGCTACTCCTCCAGGCCACCATCATTTCTCATCTGCATCTCTGTAAACACCTTCAAGCTAGTCTCCCTATATTTACTTCTGTCCAGCCTCCAATTCATTTTCCATACCACTCTCTGGGTATCCTGTCCTCCTTTCTGTTCCTCAAATAAAGGAAACTTTCACCCACATATTATTCCATCCACCTAGAATACTCTCTCCCCTTTCACCATTAAGCTCATGACTTCAGGTTTTTGTCTGACCTCCTTTATCCCCTCCATCATATGAAAGCTCTCCCATAACACTCCATGCCCACCCACCATCAAATACTCAATGACCTGTCTCCCGCTGTGAGCTTCATGAGGGCAGAGAGCATGCCTCTTTGGGCCCATGCTTGTCTTGTGGAACAATGTATTCCCCACAGCCTAGCAAGGAATCTGACACATAATAAGTATT